ACATCTTTATTGGCACTACAGCGACATTTATTAATGTTTTTATTAATATACAACGTTGTTACAGTGATTAATGAAGGGTACAGTTAGTTATTTAAAAAAATCATTTCTACATATTATTATTTAGTTCGCAACCCGAGCTGCAATCCTTGCATGTGTCGCATACATCAAATAAGGAGCAATGCGCCCGCCAGATGATTAATTACCCTCACATTTTGTGATTGATCGATATAATATTTAACAATGAACGCCATACAAAGAGTAAGAAGTGATACTACTTAATGTGTTTATTTCCCCCAACGTCTCTATAGATAACATTTTAAAATGTTATTTGTCATTGGCATGTAAAATGCAAATACTGTTTTTGTAGCGTGCGAACGTCGCCGCTGACAATGAGATATTGAGTCGATTTTGTATTGGGAACTCAGCAGTGGTGGTTAATTAATTGCGAAATCTTGGATTCGTAGGCATGGAGGGCGCACGCGGGCGGAAACTGCCCGCCGAGATGGTATCTGCGGAGGCAAAGCTGCGCCGAAACAGAGGCGGAGCGCCCGGTAATTACAATCCCGCCACGCACTCTCCGCGCCGCCAAATCTCTGTGTTTACTATAATTTTCTTATATCTCTTAACCGCCTTTTGACACGCGAATTGCATTTGCGTTGCGTGTGAATTTAAAAATTTCAGCCGTGTTCGATAAGGTTAAATGGTTTTTTGCAGAATTTGTTTGTCCAATCGATTCTTTTGCATTTAAATAAACAAACGCGAACAAGCAACGGCACTATAATAACAGGGAAAAGGCTACATTTCTTGAAAATAGACTGTGGGAACATGAATATCTATATAAAAACTGACTAAGATACAAAATAAAAGTATCATGCGGTTCCAATAATGTTATGTGTGGGATAAATAAGTTATCTTACTACTTTGAACCATGCATACGTTGGATTCCGAAAGCCCTTGTTTGCAAGTTGAACAAGAAAAAAGCTCATTATGAACGGAGCTGTTTTCTGCATTGAAATTATTTTATCATAATGCAGAATGGTTATTGTTTAAAAGCGGCGATATTATCCGATCGGAGCGGACTCCCGGGGCGGTCATTGTGTTCCTATATGGCGAATGTCAAAAACGTCGTCTTAATTATCGGGCGCGGCTATACAATGCGGACTCGATTGCGGCGAGATAAGCCCTCTCTATACCTAACCGAGTATGAATGCAGTCGCCAGCGCCGGACCCGCGCCCGCGCCCCACTTACCGCTTTAATAATAACTTCAAACGTATGTCGCATTGTATCTCCGATTATTACGATCTAAGCCATTGAATCGATGTACGCCGCGTTTGAATATGTTACGCTCTCGTAAAAAGGAGAGAAAACATAACTATTGAATATCAAGTGTTTCGTAAGAACTTGCTTAATATCTCAATGCGTTCATGATACGGTGGCTGTGCCTTGGTAATACAATACTTTATCCCTATTATAATGAGAAAACATTAGTAAATATCGTATTATTTATCACTTTTCATCCAATTATTATTAAACAAGATCAATTATATTACTGAAAGTGGAATTTCTGGTTTTTCAAGAATATCCAGTGTGGCGATATAAAGAAATAATGCAATTTTATTGTTAGGACGGTCTCATATTATAGGCACTGGTTGTTAGTCATTTTATTTTCCAGGGAAGTGGCAGAAAATTATAATAAGGGGATTTCCGATTTCCACGCAACACGGTATCAATGCTGCGGTACCTGTCGTGTGGGATAAATTAAAATTTCCCATGACTTAATTGCCAATTCAGTCACGCTATTAAGTATCATCATTATTTACGATTCGCTAATTTGTTGAGCGGTTTCTAAAAATATACACTTTGGATATAGCTAAACGATTTAACGATACTTCTAATATATAAAATTCTCATGTCGCGGTGTTTGTGGTTAAACTCCTCCGAACCGGCGTTCCCGATTCTCATGAAATTTTGTGTGCATGTTGGGTAGGTCTGAGAATCGGACAACATCTATTTTTCATCCCCCTAAATGTTAAGGGTAATCCACCCCTACATTTTTTTTCAATTTTAGTTTTTTTATTTTAATTTTTATTTATGATACATCATACAAAAATACATACAACCCTAAATTTTCACCCTTCTACCACCGACCCCTATTTTTTTATGGCGGTACGAAGTTCGCTGGGACAGCTAGTAATAAATATATAAAAATGGGTGCGTGTACTTATGTAGGCGCGTGAGAAGTTATCCATCTTTGGCATCGTTTAAATTTAGTTTTTAATTGCATGCAAATAATTAATTACAATAAATTAATAAAAAGTCTGGAAAAGGACACAGTCAATAAAGTTCAGTTTTAATTTGAAAAAATAAATAAATAATCAAAATATTCAATTAAAATAGCTACTGAATATAATTTATTAGAACATATGTGATTTGCACTTGTATGAAACTCAAACACGTATTCCGAATATACAAACTAGAAACATGTGGATAAATCTTATAAATATGAATACCTATAACTGTTACTTTATTACAAAAAATAAAGATGTGGTTTTTGGTTCTACTACACCAATGGTCAAGAGATGGCGCTGTAGTCTCCTGAATCGCGCTTTGGTTCCGTTGTTCCAGATTAATAAATACTTTTGATATTATAAATATGAATACCTATAACTATGACTTTATTACAAAAAATAAAGATGTGGTTTTTGGTTCTACTACACCAATGGTCAAGAGATGGCGCTGTAGTCTCCTGAATCGCGCTTTGGTTCCGTTGTTCCACCAGATTAATAAATACTTTTGATAGGCCTTCACAGTGCAGTCGTTAGCACCCACTAAATAGAGATTCTATTTCTATTTTGTTGGTAGATTTTCTTAATGTGCGCTAAAGCGACCAACTTCATGCTGTTCATTTTTGTGTTACAGTGATGCGCGCGCATCTTAAAATTTCACTCTCATCATTTTTTCATAACGCGCCTAAAGAAGTATAACTTCAAAAATGGCAACGCACAAACGGCGTTTTCTCATCAGTGACATTTTGAGCAACAAAATTTTATTTTATTTATTCAGGACATGATACTCATGGTTACTACTACTAGAGGTGTAGTTTAAAACGAGGTACTATTTTCAAGAATCACAAACATTGTCATTTTTGCCAGAACAGAAATCAAGCTTAGAAGTCAAATACCACAGTTTTGTTTTTGTATCTGTAGTAAAAAAATATAAAATATCAATTAATGAAATGGAAACGATAGGAGCGATCTTTTATTAATAAATCATATATCCTTGTGTAACATCAGAAAAAGAAAACAAATAAATGTGAAATTGAACACGTGAGATGAAACAGTGACCAGGAGCAAGGTAAGCCGACCCGTCTTGTGGTCGAGATATCCCGAGTTATTCAAGGGTACAGTTGCGTAAATAAAAGGCTACCAAGCAGTCATATTTGGTGTATCTATAACACATTTGGCTTTATGAAAAACAGCAAAGCCTCTAGGCATAAACTTAAAACTTATTTACAGGTGCTTTTATCACTTATTAAATAAGGTATACTAACAGTAAATCAGTTGGAGCTAATTATAGTATAAACAAAGTATTGCCACTATTCGATTTTAATAGAGAGTTTAAATTTCTTATTATAAATAAATCGTTACAGGTATGCGATCGTAAAATGTGAAGAATTCAATAACAAAAAGCGGTAAACGAAGAGAGCCGGTTGATCTGATTTCACACGTCAGCAGTGTTGGACGGATCATCGCAAGCTGGCCGATGTAATAAAATTATACGCGTTACAATCCACTCGTAAATATTGGAGAAACATCGATAACATTTCCGCACAGTGGCAATAATTTTGTTCGCTTTATTCTTGTGGCTACTGCAACTAGTTGTAAATTGAGATGTTCGGAAAAGCACTGCCTCACGACCGTGTTTTACGATTGGCCACTCTTTAAAGTCGAGCAGTATATCTTTTCGTTTTTGTACTGGATTATTTACTTCATTATTATTCTTACTCGTCATTCTCTCTTCATCCTGTAAATATACTGCTACTGGACTTGAACTTGCCTCATGTATAGAAGCGGATGAATAGATAACTGGTACTGTTTAATAAAAATAGGAACCACGTCACTGGTAAATAGGGGCAATACCTCTGAAATGAATACGAGATAAGAATCGTCAAATTCACGGGCGCGGAATCTTTTTACATTAAACACTTCTCAACCAACTAACATTACATGATCAGATCACTGAATTGAAATATAGAAAATATACCTATCGTGTTCTCTCGCATATCATTAACAGGATAAGGAACTCAGAAAAACATGTAATGTGCCAGCTGTTAGATTTAATGTATTATGTAACTGATATTGAAACTACTGTAGTCTATAGTAGTAGATCTGGCAAAATGACGCTCGTTTTTGAATAAAATAAGTCAGTAACCATTGTCAGACATTAGTTCGTTAAGAATATTATCTATATTTATATATTATGTAGGACTGCCATCTTGAGTCGCACTTTAGATAATACTAGCGGCCCGCCTTCGCTTCGCTTCGGTGTAGAGCTGAAGTATACATACACAATGACATTCATCTATGATTCTTCGTATACCTGCATGCAAAGTCTCAGCCCGATCGGTTTAATATTGACAAAGTTTCATACAAACTTTCATTTCCTATTTTATCCCCTTGGGGGTAGAATTTATCAAAATCCTTTCTTAGCGGATGCCTACGTCATAATATCTACCTGCATGCCAAATTTCAGCCCGATCCGTCCAGTGGTTTGGGCTGTGCGTTGATAGATCACTATGTCAGTCAGTCACCTTTAAGTTTTATATTATATAGTTTTCGATTCCACAAGTGATGATAAAATATATGAAGTCAAACGGAATAAATGCGAATAATATAGTATTTGTAGTGTTTATCGATTTATAAAATGCTTTTTGTATGAGCATTGAACGTTGATTAATATTTATAAACAGGATAATTAGTAACTACTTAGAAATACTTACTTTGACAGTTTGATTTTTGAGAGGTTTGTCCGGGTCGTGAACGTATTCTAAGGTGATGCCGTAAAACTGGCCCTTATTGATATAGGTGATGCGGTCGTCCTCTCGTCGCTGCGAACTGCTGCTCGCAGTCTCCAAGTGGTACTTGAACCCGTACGGAGAAAATCTAAACCAAAAAAAGAATACAGTGTAAACAATGATCTTTATTCGCCATCAAAAACAAAGAAACGAGTAAGACACTGCTGACACCTCTCGTAACACAAGATCGAGATAAGCATCCAAAACTCGAGCGTTACGAGTAGCGCAGTAGACGTCGTAAATGTGCCTCGAAATTTAAAACGCGCTATAAAAGCTGGTCTCTGAAACATTTAGAAAAAGTGCGATTTCTTCTCTCAGATACTTATCTAAGAATACCCGTTCTTTACAATAAAGTTTCCATGAAGTAAAGTAATAAAATGTGCAAAAAGTGGAAATCTTAATTGCACAGCCAGTAAAGCTTGTCAGCGACGTCGTTACATAAAGGTGTGGAGATCCAGTTCGTAGTGCGCATTGAAAAACTATATTTTCTCGCGATTTCCTGCGTGCTACGGCAGCGGAAGGAAAACCCCGCTAATTTAGAGGCGATCGCGTGCCACGTCTCGTTAGCGACAGAGCGAGCGTCGCGTTCGACGCTGGCTCTGTCGCCGTCGCTGACGGCCCACGCCCGGCGCATTGCAAGGGCCGCTGTCTTTATCAACCGACTCTATTGTCCCGAGCCTTAACTTATGTAACACGATAAAAAGCTATAAATCGTTATGAAATATTTTAATCCGCTAATGAAACTTCTCAGAGGTATTTAGGTATGCCGGTTTGCGTAGGTACCTTCGCGTTCAGTCGCGTCGGTTACACCATTACTTAAGCTTTATTGGAAACAATTTGGTGAACAACCCCGCTGATGTTTGCGATTTAAAGCGAGCTTGTTCAGATAAACGCCGTGTAATGCAAACGCGGGCCGACATTGACGGATCGGCCGCAGCGGCGCTGGCTATCTGATGCTCTCTAAGTGATTCCGAGCGCAATTTACATTTGCGACGGTGCTCTCTACTGTCATTTCAACTATCCTTTGTTTACAAAAGAAACCTTTATCTTCGTTGGTTTTCTTTAGCTTCATTTTAATATTAATATTTTTACCTATTCTGATATTATCACAACAGAAAATTAACACACATGCAAAATTTCTTTCAATGCCCGTAAACGTGAACTGAATGCAACTTGAACCCTCCAGCAATAAGTACTCAGGAGTACCGCGAGCACAATCGTTGTTATTCAGAAATAAATAACACATTGTTTTCGAATGAGCTTCATTACAAATTTCAGCGTCGCAGATACCGAAAAAAGGCACTTCCTGCGTGAAGACGCGAAGCTTTCATGAATAAATCAATCTGCGAGGCGAGGAAATTGATGTGCGGGCAAAAAGTCGGACAACAAAGTGGGCGCTGTAAAAACGCAGCAGATAAGGGGCAGCGGCCGGCGACGCATCGCCAAATTAGATGCGCATAAATCCTTCTTTGTTTCGATACGCCCGAGGACCTCGATCATCAGCGGGCTACCTAGCAATATAATAATAGGCCTTACATATTAATGCCTGACAAAGCTAATCGTTTGATTCGGCCAAATAGACCCAAGGCAGATTTTTCAGTTCTTGGGTCATAATGAATCAGGTAAATTTATCGTTCAATCAGAAGAAATGCCATCCGTATTGAAATACAAAGTTTTGTCATTTATTAACAAAAAAACACGATGTAAAGGAATATATAGATTAATAATGTGTGATTAAAATAAAATCGAAATTTGATGGCAGATTCTCTTCCTACATAGAAAGGATAGGGCTTTCAGATAGCTCAGAATAATAATATTTTTCAGTACATTCTATTTAAATTTTTTAGCTGAGTGTACTTTGTAAAATATACGGACATTGCGTTTAACTTGCAATAGTCATAAATAACTTATGTCGTTGCCTAAAGCTGACAGACTATCTACCGACCTATCCACTAATGAAACTGCCCTATTAATTTGCGCCCCCACGCAAATTAGGCTATGCGCCTACAACGTCTTTTAATGCAGTTGTAAAACTGCTTTAATGCCATGTTAGTGCTGCAAAGATTGAATTTGAAGACAGTGAAATTAAAATGAGTGAGAATGTAAGTTTGGCTGCCTGATAACATACATTTTCTGCTCTGTCGCCCCACAAGTGCTATGATATGACTCCACGTTTTTGTTTTTACTACTTTGTTGACACACGTCATTGTTTGTTACCAATTTAGAAATGACGAAGCGGCCAAAAACCTAGTAAACACAATTAGGATATTTCGATGATCTGAAAATCAACATCCCAGAGGAGGTTGTAAGTTGCGCTGAGGTTAAGAAGAGCATAGTCACATCACGGCAGGCGGCTGGGTGGTTAATGAGAACGCTTAGCCTGCGTAATAGCAGACCCTGATTGCCGGTCGCAGCACACTACATACACGCAGCGTCACTACCTCATCCTAACTACCCCGCAATTACCGCCGCTACCATCCAAGTAAACGATTACAGAAAATCATTCAGACTACCGGATAGAGTAACACGCATTAAGGGTAAGCGACTGATGCTGTCTGATCGCGACACTTAGGAGTATTACGCATCAAGGAGTACATAGTGTTCAAATTTAAGACTGTTATGTTAACGCTTTGAAATACCCAATATACAATTAGAAGTATCTACTACTTCGTTATGTGACTAATAAGAGTGGTTCATATTGCGTGACGTTAGTAATTAAAACGGATTTTTTTTACGATAAATAGGTTATGTTTGTTTACGTGCTATGGTGCAATGACTATCACAGACTGAACGTAACGTAAACAAAATTAAAAAATATGTAATCTCTATTAAGTAGCGTTTGCAGCATTGCAGCTAATATTTTTAACAGCTCTAATCACGAACGTATACAGAGGTGAAAAGTTTTAAAAACCCATCTACTGTTAAGCTGTTGAGGAGAGTAAATAAAAAGGCCATTAAAGTCATTCTTCTCGAGTGAAGTAAGTAATAGTCCAAACATTATTAGGGAGGAACGCCGTAGGTATGGAGGTGAAGCCTGCGGTAATCGGCGGGAACGAGCGCGTATCAACATCGAAGGTAATTTAAGACGCCACAAGCGACCAAGCTATTTGGGCTAAATGCAAGTAAGTAATTATCGAGATAATAATGCTAATGCACTTATCATGTCGACGACTGCTTCCGCTGCGGCGCTCAAAGCCGTTCTTTTGACGATTTCTGCCCGAGTTATGATATCTAAAGTTGTTATGGTTTTACGTTGAAGAGCTCCGATAAAACGTTTTCTAAGGTACTTGGAAAAACTATTAATAATTTTCTAAATTAATTTAAATACAGGAGGGGTAGTAAAAAGTTAAAGATAGAAACGTACATTTATTAAATTACTTTTAATAACTGTACGTATCTATCTATTGTTTTCTATGGACGACCTCCGTGGCCGGGTGGTTTGTACGCCAGGTTTCATGGTGTCGCCGACTCGAGAGGTCCCGGGTTCGAATCCCGGTAGGGCATACGAGCATTTATAGTCCAGCCATGGATGTTTGATATGTATTTCTATATAAATATATTTATATATGTACAGTATATGTGTATTCTATCCGTTACCCTAGTATCCCATAACACAAGCCTTACTTACTTTGGGGCTGGGCTAATTGGTGTGAGTTTTGGAAATAATAATTTATTTATTATTTACTCACTCTTCATCTTCTGTCCATGTGGTAAATTGCGTGAAAATAAAAAGGTTTTTTAGTGTTCATTAATACCTTTATAATTACTTAATAACTTTGTGAGTGATGCTAATGCTTAACTACTTGCTCATTAGCAAGTTAAGTTTTTATAAGTAGGTAGGTATATTTTGATACCTATCAAAAGAGATACAAGATAATATCTTGATTTAAATAAATTACGATTTTGCATAATGAGGTCTTGTCGAGTATCATTTAATTCTTTCTTTTAACAAATTGTTTCCTCCGTAGTATTTTTCAGTAACATAACTGTCAAAAGCACGTCAGAAGTTATAAAATGAGATAGGTTTTTACGTAAGTAGTGGTATTTATTTCTATTGTATGGAAAAAGAACAAAAATTTACCCTTTAACACATGATGTTGTGCAAGTAAGTGCGCTTTTTAATGAGTTGTTTTCTACCCGGGTCTAGACACGGTTTTAAACCGTGTCTACGTCCGGTCGTCAATTAGGTTTGGTTAGATATGGGGGTCTATTAACGACACCGGCGCTAGCCACGTTTTAGTGTCGGTACAAACGTTCAAATCGTGCTCGTGAACAAATTTAGCCGGGATAAGGTAATGGTAACAACCATTACCTTATTTTAGCGACTTCCCGATATTTCGGCATGGAATAACTATCATCGGTTACTCTCCGATGATAGTTATTCCATGATCATGGCGCTTGCAACAGTGCCGAAATATCGGAAACGCACTAAAAACAAGGTACATGGTAACAATCCCGTAAATAACATATTAACTCTTTATTAACCTCTTTTCATTTTAGTACTCCTTCTGATTCTATCCGTTGCAAAAACCTACCACCATCGCCTACACCAAGAAACCCCTTCAACTATAATGTAAGTAACCATGAAATTTTAAAACAATAAATTTAGCTGGCGCCAGCCTGGGTAGAAACAAGGTAGAAACCGTCTCGTTAACAAGATCCTTGAGTGGACTTCCTCACCTAGCCGGGGTTGACATACTCAACTACATCCGTATCCTATAAAAAACAACTACAACGTAAAGTAGTGTTTTTCTGTAAGGTGGAGGTCACATCATATTTTTCCAAACAGGCACCCCATTTCTCTCATATATAATACTAGGTGCCCGCAACTTCATCTACGTGGAATATTTGGTTTCCCATAAAAACTTCCAATATACAAACTATCCTTTGCCCCTACTCGGTTGTGAAATTGCCCTTATACCAAATTTTCTAATAAATCAGTGCAACTGTTTAATGGTGACAAGGTAAAAGACAAACAGAAAGACAGATAACTACTTAATTCTTGTATAACTCATGTTACTTCCATTATATGTTTCATGAATTCCAAATTGCGTAAAATTTGAACAAGCGTTGTCGCGCATTTATTAC